AGAGAATATTATTGTGTCTCAGTTGCCAAATACGTTTTATTATGTTACTGGCATGTAACTATTGGGATACTTCTATCTTATAATTCAGGATAGACTGCTTCCTATCATATAGGACTGTAAAAAATGTGGAACTTGGCCTTATTCGACCCAAGGCAGCAAAGAAGAAGCTTCAGTACAGCCCACACTCTAACCAGCTGAGTAACGAGGCCCCCCGGGAACAGTGAATTTAATCACAAGTTACTCGCCTAGCCTACTACTAAGTATGGAATCTACCAATGCGGACACAGATAATTGACTGTCAATGTAGCATTTTCCAGCTTAATACGAGACTCATTTCCTTAGCATGCGTTTTTTGCATAGTTTAGTAAATAACTTGAACCATTTAAAAACTACGGCAGCCTCGTTGGGATTGGAACTCAAAACATAAATGACCAGTGTTGAGTACAGCTATTGCTCCAACCCCTGGTTTACAAAACTGCATCAAGAGCCGTTAGCTTAATAATATTTGGATTAAAATTTCAGAGCAACTATATTTTGAAGTGGCCAGCCGAAGGAAGATTTTTCATACAGCCTTTTTATTACCGATGCGGCTGTCATTAAGGTGCTCTTCATTTAAATTGCAATGTGAAAAGGATACGCACAAGTACTCGTTTCAGTTTTTACTCATGCCACAAAAATTAAACCAAGATAAGCTCATACGCCGCAGTGCCTAAAACGCTCACATTCCTGACTCACGAATATCCAGCACAAAACCGAACAAGACTATCACTCAGCTGGGCTGTCCACCTGACTTACCTGAAAAAGGAAGATTATACGAGCGAAGCTGAAGATGTGCGCAATCGCAAAAAAAGCCTCGCTGAGCAGGGTGGGGTCATCGGGCGGCCAGTTCTGCCGACCCGTCAGCTCAAAGCCATACTTTTCCGTCTTCCGCAACACCAGACCGACCAGTCGTAAACCGACCGTGGTGAGGAAGAGAGTGAGCATGATGAAGTCCAGCCAGTTCCACCACTGTCTCACATACGCCTTGAAGCCCTCCTCCCAGATCTGCTTCATCTCACTCCACACGAAACCTGAAAAGCAAACACCATGTCTGCTTTAAAAAGTACGCTTTGTATCAAAATACAAGCAAAGTGACACTTGAAAGATTTGGAGAGTTCACAAATGATTCCCATTAACATGGAGAGCTGTCTGTATGCCACAGTTTAAACGCTCATTAGGGAAAACAGTAAGGATGACTTACAGTAGGTCCCCTAGCCCAGAAGATGGCAAGGAAAATTCTCAATTCTCAATACGTAAGCGGGCTTGTAATATTGTAAATAGTGCAGCATAGTTTCAAGATATTCTAGTCATGTCAGAATGTGAACACTGAACAAGCCCTGTTCTGATCGCTCACAGGAACATATTCCCCAAAAATGGATACTTATATGGTACGCATTTACTCGTCAATTTCCACTTTCCTCATAAATTAAAATATACTTTACAGAAAACATACACCTAACTATTCTTTCTTGTACTTAATTAGTAGCAGAATACGCCTTTTTCAAATTTTACACTTGAAAAAATATTATACTATACTTCTAAACAGTTTCCAATTAGAATATTTCATAAGACCGTGAAATGTTAATAAATTGAACATCATACACATAAGGTTCCTTTCAAAATATACCATAAGATTCATACCAGTTGCAAGGTTTTATGAAAACAGAATTCTTTTCCAAAGAAGACAACTCGATTGCCAGGACAATATTTTCATTCGCCTGACGTTTCGAGATCCGTCGCGGATTCGTCATCAGAGACATAGTCAAAGAGCAGTAGCAGAAACGGGTAATACATGCACAGGGGTTTGCAGTATTTATAGGACACAGTCATTGCTGCAAACATACAGAGACAATTAACGTCAATTGCTTTCTTGTGCGTCGATAGTTTGTTGGAGAGCATACGGGCTCTGACCTGTTGAAATTTCATCACGCGTGGTGGACTGAGGCGTGATGATTGCTCGCCCATCTGACCCTGTGGTGTTTGCGTAGGCCTGTACTTACCCCAAGTGGCGATTTGCTTTGGCCAAACTGAGTCTCAGCACCGAATAAGGATTGGGCAAATCGTTGTACTTGTTTATGGATGGAGGAAGCGGAAAACCAGCTGGCCTTCCTTGACGCCCTCGTCTTTCGCAATGATTGTGGTGGCCTAAAGACTAAGGTATTCAGGAAAGCGACAAACGCGATGCAAGTACATAAATACAACAGCAACCAACCAATCAGCCACAAACGCAGTTGCGTAAGGGTGCTCTATCGGCGTGTTGAGACGCACTGCAGTGAACTAGAAGATAAAGTTGCCCAGGTAGAATACCTTCGACCGGTGTTCAGAGAAAATGGGTACCAGCGCAACTTCGTCAACCGGTGCTTGCGCAAACGAGATCGCCAACAAAGTCGCACCGACCCCAACATTTGGCGACTACAAGGCACATATGTTAAGTGCAGAAATCTGGGAGCTGCACCTAACTTAGTTTGCTCACAGTTCGCCTAAGAAAAGTCATTTGCTAAGATTCTGCTTCCGACGAGTCCATTTATCAAAGTGCAACGAGCAGACGGTCGTATAAAACGTCAATTCTCCAGCATGCGGTTGGTTTTTACTGTTCCCACTTTACTGCCCAATCCCAAGCCAATCAAATGTTAGTTTCAAAAGAAGTCTCAAATGCCATATGCGCACCCAGCGTCTTGCAAAGCTAACAAATCAGTCTGCAAGAACCACGCGCATCATGGTCACTAATTTCAAAAGATATCCAGTCGTGAAATTTTGCTCCAGAGGTTATGTTGAAATTGGCTATCACATAGTCGGCGTCGGTGAAGAGAGGGGACGTGTCGTTCCGTCACGTAGCGGCCTTCCAAACCGGGGCTGCTTGTGCTTCGCAACTGCTCAAAGGCACTTTTTGTTATTGGTAGTAGAAAAGGAAATAATCCCGGGTTTGCATAGAGCAGACGTGCATGGCGCGCGTAGTTGATCTATATTGCTCTTTCAGTCAATGTTTTTGAGCTCGGCTCCAGTATTTTCGACGCTGTTATGACACCTGAATGTAGTAGATGCTTCCGGCGCAAATCATATTCCTCTGCGCTCATCCTGCCTTGGGACACTTTGCGGACAAATTGAATGTGGACAGTTGAACTAACATACTGAACAACGTAGGTGTAATATCTTAACTGGTTTTAGCGTTTTCTACCTTTGCAGTCCTGGTGTGCCAGTGGCCTCTGCAGGTCTAGTCGACTCAGAACGAAATATACTTCAGGGGGTGGAGGTTATCTTGTATGCCTCCTAACACTTGTCTTACATAAGTGCAGCATTCTTCATGCCACCAAACATACCACGTAATGGGTCAATGCAACCCTGTGGGAACCACAGATCACAGACACCTTACAAAAATATATCAAAATAAACGCTTATCTACACCGTTTTATAAAGACATAATTAGCATTACTATCAATGCCCATGCTTTTCAGTGATTCAGACCTATGGAAGCCATCATGATCCTCACTCTCGCCTACTTGAAGTTTACATTTTTTGCCTGTCAGTCCATTCAACGTATTGGTAATCGAGTACCGTCTTCAACATAACTCAAAGCCTACGATATGGTTTTTTCAAACATTGTGGTTTTTATCTTCCTTAACTCCTGGACCCGTTAAGAACAACAACCGGACAAACTTTAGTTTAAAGCCGTCGCCCAATATGTGCTACAGACGGGCTTTAAGCCCGTGTCTCTGAGCTTATCATCGAACGGGGAGTAAGCCAGTTTAACACAGTTGGCGTAACCGACTGCAGCTTTGAGGCACAAAGACGGTACGTAAGAGCACTTTCTGTCTAGGCGAATCCTTCGACTTCCATCGCCAGAACAAAGAAAAGTTACACTACAACTTGAATCTCCTAACACCTTAAAGTAAACGTTCAAAGTTTTTAGTCGGAAAAGCATGTTAAAATTTCTGAAGGAAAAAGCCAGTCGAATTTATACAAAAGCTATTATAGTAACACGAAAAATTGCGATTCAAAGGCGATTTATATTTGTGAATTGTATATTAGGAAAGTTTTGGTTTTCTTTCGGGGAGACTTTCTATTTTTTACTCAACCATACGAATGACAAGGATAAGATAATCACGGTAAACGTTTTTACCACCTCCTGAAATGTTTGCGTCTGCAAAACTTGTTGATGTGTTTTTAAAGTTTTTAGCACTTTTAAATAAGTGGTTGTGAAGACAAGTGTCAAACTGAAAATTTTCTTTCAAAATTGCCGTTCGGAACTCAATTCTCAGCACACAGATTAAAAAAGGCGAATTATACTCAACATCAACCATCAGATAGAACAATTCAATCTTTGCGAATAATGGACGGTTATTTTGCAAAGGGGAAGCAATTTGATTGAACAGGAGTTTTAATCACTAATCAATACTAATTTTTCAGCCATTTTAGCCATAGTAGGCACGAAATCCGATATCAGCTGTCGCCCGAAAAATGCCGACTACTTCACTGCATGGAACGAAAGTCTCTATTTATAGAAGCCTTCCGCTACGGCCTTCTGGAACCTGAAATTTGCTGCAAAATCTCACACGAACAAACATTTTGGGATTAAATATCAGGCGTTTTATGATCCGTGTACCGGCAAGACGAGAGAAAACAAAGCCAAGAGGTGGGCCAAGAGTTGAGTTGGAATCACCATGACAACGAATCTGCTAGTTTTATTTCCGCTTCGTCCTTTGAAGCTAAGCTGGCATGGGCTGAAAACCCAAGGCGGACCACCTCGTGAATTCAACATTTTTTGACTTAAAAGCAAATAGGAGTAGGAATCTATTTGGTGCGTTTAAAAATCTCTTATCGTACATTTAACTGGCCGGACTTTCAAATAAACCTGCTTAATGCCGTTTACTTGTGCACAACCAGGTAAGTATTTAGTCGGAAATGACATTAAGCAGAACGTGGGTGTGCCTGTGGTTGGTCATAGTAACAGTTTAAGAGCCTTTGCAAACTAAATTTCAGTCAGTTAACGTTCATGGGCTGTGATGCTTAATCTCCGCATTTAGCTTTAGATTATAAATGCAATGACAGTTAAGTGATTCTCGGACCACAAATATTACGAAATTTAGAGAACAGTTGAGAGATGCTGCCATAATAATGGAAAGTCCTTGCACTATCTACGGTAAGGTACTACTGCCCAACAGTGCCTACCCTTTTCCATGAAGAAATAAATTAATCGTTTTGAAGGGGATGCCATTTTAAGGAAGGTGAATGTTGCCGTTGTGTTCTTGTATGTTTAGTCACAATAAAGCACCCTTCACATCTCATACCATTTAAACCATAACCGATGTAAGATAAGTCCACATGAGCTGAAATTCTGAAAGAACTGCCTAAAATTAGAAAATTTCGTTTTGGTTAAAAGATGTTGCTTAGGTTTTGCGGCCTCACGCAAGTAGTCCTTTTTAATCGGAAACACGCTTTATAATTTGACTAAATACTCCATGAACTTCGTTAACTACAGCTCGTATCGCGTATACACGAGCATGAACAGGCTGCGCTACCGGGCGCTTGCATCCACCGCCTAACGCCGTAGCTGCCAAGATAATCGCCCATACCGAAAACAAGACAAGCCGAGAGTCTACGGAAGTCTGGGTCTCGGATTAGTACTCAGATCTGTCCGGCACATGCATATAGTCACCTTCGGACCTGCAAAACTGATCATTGATAGGCTAACGTCCCTATAACCGTCTCTTGTTCCGCTACCGTTGTCATTGTTGATGATGACCTCCTGCGTGAGGTCGAACACTCGAACACATGGTTTCTGTGCTTGAGTGGTTTACTTTACATTTGTCCATCTCAGTCCAAGCCAACCTAGTCGTGGGTGTTGTCAGTTCGAAATAAAATACAAAATATCAACAAAGAATTGTGCTTCTACTGAGTTCCTCTTTAATTTTTTGGCATTAGGATATGTGCGTAAACCGAGCTGATCCTTATCTTTTGGAGACTTCCCACACTGTGCGGTATGAATAGTTCCTGTGTGACACGCGTAGGCGGGTTGTTTTTATCTGCAAATCATTTCGTCAAATCCGTGTCAGGTTAATGAGCAACTTGGAAAATGGACTGGTGCATGGGGAAGTCAATGGAAAATTAGACCGACTTTATAGACCTCACCTATGGCAGCACAGCGCATTCCTTATGCTATAAAGCTAAGAAGCCAACTTGACGCCAAAATATGCAGCTTAGGAGCTTGTAAAACGACGGGGTATTCCGGTTCCTTGATTGAAAAATATATCTCTTGAGTGACTGACAGGTGGAACGAGATTCGGGCATCCTTACACACATGACCTACGAAACGTGCTCTATTTTATGGAAGCCAGATATAATGCCCAAGGACAAGGTCGTGTTTGGCGCAGATAGACAGACTGCTTACTTTCTTCAATCACCGTTTTCTTAACCTACTTCTTGTCATTCCAACTCAGTCTTACCACTGGCCTCATCACAGTGACAAAGGAGAATATGGAATACAGCGATCAATCGTTGAAGCGCAATTTATTTTCCCACACTCGCAGAGCTGTTTTTCACACGATGCACGACGTAGCATACGATCGTGGGGATGTCAATCTCCATTCAGGCTTCCTTGAGAAAGACTGCCAGGCCCGTTATTTGGAACAGTGCAAATGAAAATGGAAGTATTTTTAATGATACGAAAGCAATTGCAGAGAGACCTACTGTTGCATTCGGGGGTGGTAACTCCAAGCTGTCTACAATCAAGGCCTGGCTACGCATTCGTAATGGTGCGCAACTTGTCCACGCAAGAGGTAATATTTCTTAAGTATGCTGTGAATTCAGCACTCGTTGAGCTCTTACCAAAATTTATAGTCAGTGTATACCTTGCAGAAGTGGCGATAGTAACACACGTGGGCGTAAAGACCTTCGATTGAAAGTAATTTGGCGATTCAAAGTCTGTCTGTTTCGGTCAAAAAATCAATTCGTCAAACATTCTGTAAGGTATACACTACACATGAAGTCTTTATTAGGCACATTGACTCTTTCATTTGATGCGGCTTGAATCAACGATCCATGAAAACTCTGCACAGGAATGTTTCTTTTTATGACAAGCCATTTTTATCATATACCACACTTATATTAAGGGTGTGTATCATTTTCATGTGGAAAAAACGTTAGGTGCTGATATGATTGATTACGCAGGCCCAAATTAGGAGAGTAGATAAAGGTATTCTCAAGCCGCCTACAAAGCAAGCTAGATGCATTACTGTATTCCACAAACTACCGGAAGTCTAGTAATAGGAAGCATAAATATGTTTTAGCAAAAGTAATCTGCTTGAAGGCGGGAAACGCAGAATACGCATTAGAAATAGGCTGCATTAAAAAATAAAGTACTATGTTGTCATTGTGAAAGGCAAATCTGCTTTTCGTACGTCACAAACACGCCCCATGCAAAGAACGGCGAAAGCAAGAATGATAATAGGCATATTAGTTAAATTCTCCATGGCTGAGAGGTAAAGTAT